AACCATCAATGCCCTAAAATGTTCTGTTAAAGAAAGTCTACTATTAGTAACATGGTAAACATTAAAGTAGAAGTTGTTATATGTATTTTTTTTTTTTTTACTCTTGGGGGCATTGGCACAAGCCGTGAACGTGACACTGACATGTGATCACTTTCTTAAGTTGAAAAACACTCAAACACTGTAAAGCTGAGAGGAGCAGCAGAGTCTGGTGATAATTCCCTGTGTGTTTGCCACTACGAGCGACCTCTTTCACATTACACAGTCATTAGATATATTGCTAATATAAAAACATTGATTGGTATAGCTTTAAAAAGGAAAAAAGTAGAACTGTAACGTTTTCAGATAATGACTGCAGGGGAAATTAATCATTCTTTGTGCATGTGCATTTTGAAAAGCTCCTTTATCTGCACAGTCACATGAGGAAGAACAAAGGATTAAAGGAAGAGTAACGCAAAGCTTGAAGCACTTTGTATTAGCACAGATAGCCTGCTCTTTATATATAAAAATAAATGTAGAGCGTAATTGCTTTTCTGTTTGTTTTAACATGCTTTTATAATTGTGGTAATGTAACTTTGGTAATGATGTGACATGTAGACGATATGAGTTTTAATCTCAGGGGACTTTCTCAGTTAATAAAGATGAAATAAATAAAGTAGTAAAATTTAACTACATGCATTTAATGTTTTGGATTTTATAGCCACAGCTTGTTACCCATTCAACACACCAATTTGGACTGTCAGGAGCATGAAAATAGCTCAGTCATAAATGACTCACTTGCTGTGATTAAGATCTGAGTTAATATTCTAATCACTGCACTGACATGATATTAAAAGCTGATTTGAATGAATGGGTCTGGAGCGACCTGCATTGACCTAATAATAGCACAGCCATGAGGAAAACTAAAATCCACCTCAGTATTACCTCAGTTTGGCTTCTCCACTGCTTCATTGTGCACCGAGTTTGTGTTATCCATTCAAATGTGAGCATTTTCTGCCAGTGCCAGACGTGATAACAGACAGCAAGGTAATACTGGTGGCCAGTTTAGCAAACGCAGACAACCAAAGACCAGTTTTAGCCCATTTGCTTTGCCTTAAAATATGTACTGTGGCTCTGTCTGTGCCTGTCATCTTCCGACACTCTTTTTTCTCTGTCATTTTTTTCCTTTGCTCTCTCCCACACTTGCTGTCACATGACCCACCAAGTCTCTTCATCTTCCCTCTCTTTTTCTCACCTCCTTTCCCACTCTGTGTGTCCCAAACACACATACATGCTTTTTTCTTTCCCGTCATCTTTTCACCTCTCTCTGTTCTTTTTTCTCAGTCCCAGCACGGCACATCTTCATACAATTACTCTCCATTAAAAATGGATTAGATTTCACCTTCACAGTGTGTCTACAGAGGGGGAACAGGAGGGGGGAGTGGACGGCCAAAAGGGGGGCCATGAGAAATCAGGAGAGAAGGAGGCAAGAGGTGGAAAGGTTAGGAAGGGGCAGATTGGGAAGGAAAGGAAAACAGAGAGGTGGAGAGAAGAAGGAAAGGATGGTACAAGAGTGATGAGCGACCAGGTGGATAAAAGGACTGAAGCTGCAGCTATCTCAAACTAACCAAGAGCCACAAATACAGAGGTGGTTGCCTCGCAGATTTAGACTCACATTCTTTCTCAAAGCAAAGTCAGAAGAAATAGTTCACTCTCAAAAACTTTTCACACTTGTTTTTTGTGACAAATAGTCAGAAAATTGTGTGATCTTGTCTGTCACACGTTTGTCCAGTCACTGAGAAATGGCTGCAATTCAAGAACAAATTGACCACTCAGTACAGCTCGATGGGCAGTCCCATAGATGGCAACACTGATGTAAAATGGGCAGAAAGGAAGGCTAAAGAAAAGTCACAGAAAAAGTTTTACAGGTTATGTCATGCATGTTGAATTGTCAAAAACCAAACCAAACAAAACCCAAAAAACAAAAAAAAAAAAAACAAGAAGCGGGTCAGTCCTGGTTTTCTGATCCTTTTAACACAAACAACAAATAATCGTCTGCATATATGACAAGTCAAAGTTTAGAGAATATTCTCCCCAATAGAAGACAGTCTTGTTGTGAGTTTAAACTAAATGTAACCCCAAATAGATAAAGTTGTAAGTCAGAAAATTAGGATCATAATCTTACAGTAAAGTTTTTCCATATCATCAACCTGGGACTTTATCAAACAGCAACTTAGTAGTTTCATTATGTGTTAGACTTAAAATAAATCCTGTTCAAATACAGATACTCTGTCACATCACCATCCAAATTATGGAAGGCACAGTTGGTCATAATTGATAGAGTAAAAGGCCACTTTCAGTGATCTCAAAAGAGTGTGTACCTGACTTATCAAGCAAAGGGCGGCTCTCGTCTATTGTCATGTAGCTTTTTGCCAAAGGGAGCAGATGGTCATGGTGTGCCCATAAGAGGTGAGGGGGTCTGGGGCTGGAAGAACTCCAGTCACCCCCTCCCTTACTCCTCCTCTGTTTCCCACCTGGGGGTTAAGAAGGGTTAAATCTAATCCGCTCCTGCTGTGTGTGTGTGTGCGTGTGTGTGTGCGAGTGTGTGAGTGAGTGTGTCTGTGAGAGTCTTGGATCATCCTCTTTCCAACTGCACAGTCAGTCTAGACTGCTTCCCAGCCATTGGTAAAGCTGCATTGTTTTTTTCTGACATAAAGAGATTATTTGTTCAAGACTAAAGTACATTTCTTGCTGACACTGCTTAGACAGGAGTCAATAGTCATTTTACTCCATGGTCATTTTAGGGTGTAGTTAGCTGTGCTCTAGTATTGGATTGCATTAAATGTGACAGATTTATGTTATTAAACAATTTTCTATTACAGAGCTTTTCTTTGTCCTTATACTTTTGAATTCTACCTCTACCTAATTTGAAAAAAAAGAGAAGAATTGCACTCAGTGCAACAAGTAGTGGAGGCAAACAATTTGCATCATGGTGGCCAGGCTAAGACCAGTTTCTCTTTGGTGTGGCACAGGAGTTTGTGTCTTAAGGCCTAGAAACATCAAAGTGACATCAAAGAACTAGCGGCAACAAAGGCTGACTGTTGTGTTGCCTCACATCATCTGTGTGTCAGCCAAGATGTTGCGCATGAGCACACTGCAAAGGCTACAGCCAATGGCTAACTAGGACGTACGTTCAGCACCAGCCTAAGAGGAAATAACTCTCCTTACTAGCAGGCAGCTCGTATCTGCCATTTCACATGGACACCAGGAAGAGTAGCTTTTGGCTTGATAACAACTAATAGGGATCCAAATAAACAGTAAACAATTAAAGGGGAACGGACAGAATGGATTCAAGATGCTAGTTAGCCAGTTAGCACATAAACAACACAACCTGATGTTGAAGGAACAAATTATATTTACCGTGCGCTAGTGAACAATAACACAAACCATTCTGAACTGTTTCTGCTTAAGAGCTCAATGGCTTGAAAATAATCTGACCTAATATAACAAGTTTGTTTCAGTTTCACACCCTCTTGACTTTAGCGGTTCGTTAGAATGATTTCTCTCACTGACAAGCTCCTCTGGGTCCAACACTGATTCAGCACGCTCAGTTGGCCAAAAACAGCCAACAAGGGTTGACTAGTGCTAAGGATACAGGACACACAGCAAGAACAAGGGAGACAGACGCTCACTGACAGCCAGGCGTTGACCTATGTCCGACTTTTGGCTTGGTGTGTTGGGGCCCTTAATTCAGACTCAGAATGGGCTGTGTGGTGGCCAATTGGTGGCCAAGCTTAAGCCTGTAGTGCCTATGGCCACCACTTACCACTCCTTTACTCCACATTGATTACAACCCAAGATTGCCCATCAGTTCTCATCGTGTTTAGTTACATGTAGAAATCAAATTATAGAACCAGTTAGGTCCACTGAGTTCCTGTAGGGTCTGTCATACATGGCAAGGTAAGGTAGTGTATCAAACAAACAATGGCTGGAAAAGGATTCAAAGCTTTAAACTCTGTCTGTGATGTCTTTCCAGATCATCTCCTTTTTCCATAGCAATTATAGGTCATATATCAGATAAGATAAGATAAGATAAGATAAGAAGCTTTATTGTCATTGTACAAAAATACACAACGAAATTTCGTTTGGCATCATGTCATAAATATACACATACAGTCTGCAACATTCTGCTGAGATCTCTCAAAAGCCTTTGCAAAGAGGATCTTATGTGTATTTTCATATCCTTTATCTTAATGTAAATCAGCATATTATTGTTCAGACCAAACCTCACACACATCTCACTTATATAGGAATCTAAACTTTGGATATTTCACTGCTATATTTAGCTATTGAGTCATCAATCATCTGGTTACCAAGGAAAAAACCCAAGGATTCCCATTTGGCTGCTGTCAAAGCCCGTAGCTCTCTCCTTTGGTGTTTGCTTCATTTTTTTACTTCTTGCATGATGCTTTACAGGCCAAGCTGCTAAGTTTCACACCCCCTCAGGCCCGTGGAATCAATTTAAAACTCACTGCATGTGTTCAGTAATCCATGGGTATCAGCCACTTTCTCTACATCTGCGAAAAAGTGGTGAATTTTTTTTGGAGGTACAAGGTTTTAATCTGACGGCCGGCAGCAGGTTGTTTCATTGTGACGAACAGGCCTGGAGAACGAATCTGACAGGTAATAGGACTGAGATACAACACAGCCCTCTGGAGGAAGGTGTGTGTGGACGTGTGTGTGTGTGTGTGTGTGTGTATGGATGCAAGTCCCTGTGTGTGTGGGTGTGTACAAATGTGTTTGTAGAGTAATAGTCTGCTCTCTTTCCCTCATTACCTTTGAGAGAAGATCTAGCCTGTAGAATACATCTCTGTATACTACAACACTCTAAGCACAAAGCATCTTTCAGGAACGCCATCGGATTTGGCCAAGCTGCATTGCCGTTTTTGTCCTTTAACCTATTTGTCTAAAACACCTCTTTTTCTTTCTCTCTCTTTCTTCCTTCCCAACTCTCAATCATCCAGACGCCCCGGTGGCAGAGTTACATGACCTGTTCTGTAAGAAGCTGCAGCAGTGCTGCGTGCTGTTTGATTTCCTGGACTGCGTGGCCGACCTGAAGGGGAAGGAGATCAAACGTGCGGCGCTCAATGAGCTGGTGGAGAGCGTGGCCACTAGCAGAGGAGTCCTCATAGAGCCTCTGTACCCAGAGGCTATAAAGATGGTAGGAGAGGAGGAGGAGAGTGGAGGTTAGGGGTGGAGATAATGGACTAGAGGATGCACTGATGAAAGGATAGAAATGAAAGACAATGCTAAGTATCTTAATGTCAAAAAATGAACTTTTGAGAACAGACAGTGACAAACAATGGTCAATGTGGATGAACAAAGAAAGCCAGAACAATATTTCCACATGGAATCAATCCTCATCTTTTCAACACCTGGAAACTGCACAAGAAAATAGATAATAAAAGAAGAATGAATAGATGGATGAAAGAGAAGGTAGACAGTGTGATTTCCAGCAGAGACGATAAACAAAGGTGGTGAGAGAGAGGAGAGGGATAGATAGATAGATAGGATGGGAGAGATAGACTGTTTGCAAAGGGTGCTAAATAGCAATAGGCTGCACAGATGGCGAGAAAGAGAGGGATGGACAGGAAAGATGGAGTGTGGTAGAAAAAAGTGTGGACACCAACACAAAGCACCAAAGGTCCCAGAGGATATAAAGAGGAGGAAAGGAAAGAGGGATTGAGGACAGAAGGTGAAGCGAGCAGAGGATATAGCTTATGTTATAGAGTCACTATACCCAGAGGATGTGAAAACGCTGATAGGACAGAGGGTGGGATGAAAGAAAAGTGGGCAAAGGCTTTAATGTGTGGCCACAAGGTTAAAAAAAAGCTTAATTTTTATTAACGAAGGAAGGACAGAGCAACAATCCCCAGATGATATTTCCCAAACGTAGAAATATTGTGGAATTCTGGTCTAATGGTTGTTCTCTCACAAACGATTTGGACCTTTTTAAATCAAGTAAGATTTATATATTAATGTGAAATGAGCCTGTATCCTCCTGCAGAGAGAAGTTTTACTAATGCAAACAAATGGAGAGAAGGGAAGAATGGAGAAGACGATAATGCTGAATTGGGGTGTTGGGATTTACCACATTTGCTTTTTGCAGTGTAGTTTATGCACTAAATGGCCAGTGGAAATACATTTGTTGAATAAATCATGACTTTGCAAGCAGCCAGGTTGCATGGCTTACCAGTTGTTCTTCTCAAACACAGTCTGAGAACAGCTTCAGAAATGGCCGATAACAGCTGAAGTGATTGTATTTGCTTGATGTAGTTGACAGAAACCCACGTAATTGTCCTTTTAAAGGGACATTTCAGATCTTTTGAAGTGGGGTTGTATGAAATACTTGTCCATAGACAGTGTAATACATACAGTAGATGTCAGTCGGCACGCCCCCAGTTTGGAGTCTCACATGGAAACTAAGCAATCTACTGTGGGGGAGGGGTCAGCAACAAAACGTTTTTAGCCACTTGAAAAAAGTCCCACCAAAAAAAAATTCAATAATAGTATAAGTGTACACTATATTTAGAATACTGTCACTGCTTTAACTTAATGTCAGACAGTGATTTTCATTGGGAAAATTAAGCTATTACAAAGCTCTCTTTAAAGCCAGACTCCATTGAGAAAAACAGTGATTTAACATTGCTGGTGGTTTGTCTGTGTGTCTTTTGCATATAAAATGGTTAGTTCTGATTCACCAAAGTCACACAACAACACAAACTAACCGATCAAAGCAGCAGTAGACCAGCAGCTCCCATGTTCAGAAAGGTAAAATTACGTTTTTTGTGAATGGAATCTGGTGGCTATGACAAGAGCATTAGTGGGGAACTGAAGATGTTAACACCTTCTCTGTCAAAACATGCTGTCTGATGGAAATACAAAGCGGTGAAAATATTCTCACCTTAGCATATACTTAAACTGATATTGACTGTTTTAGATGGGACTTTTTTTTAGTTGGCTAAAATACGGTTTGTTGCTGACCCCCCCATTCACAGAAGTACATTGCTCAGCTTCCATGTTAGACTCCAGCCTTATTCTTTAAACTTGGGGTGTGTTGACTGAGATGTACTGTATGTAATACAATGACCATGGGTAAACACTCTACACAACCCCATTTCAAAAATCCAAACTATCCCCTTAATGTAGGGCTCTTAAAAACACCAGCTATTTATCCTGGCTCTATCCTGAGAGTTATTGAGCTTTTAGTGACACAACTCTGTGACGTGCATCATGTTGAAATATCAGCATGATGGAGTCTAGAAATGACTCAAAGGATGTTTTGCTCAGACTTGTTATTTTATCAGAGAGTCATAGACCTAGTTTTTTTCTGAAAATATAACTATCACATCTGTCTTTTTTCTTTCAATCCTGAGATTATGTCAAGGATATCCATAACATTAACAGGAATGTGCTGTGTGTCCTTTTGCTCTTCCTAATCCGCCTTTTTTACCTCTCCAATTCCTTCCCTTTCCACTTCACTTTTCCCTCATCTCCCCTTATCCCCTTCCTCTTTCAACATCCTTCCTTACCTCTCATTCATTTTCATATTTCCCTCTTCCTATTTTCGTCCTCACACTCCTGTTCCCATCACTCTCCTTCCCTTCTCCTCCTCTGTGGTTTTCCAGATCTCGGTAAATATCTTCCGGACTCTTCCACCCAGCGAGAATCCAGAGTTCGATCCTGAGGAAGATGAGCCAACACTCGAAGCCTCCTGGCCGCATCTGCAGGTACAACATACACCACTTACATAATTTCATGCATTTTCCCCCTGCAGAGGTAAAGGACAGTTTCTCTTGGAAAAGATATGTTCAGCAAAACATGTTGACTTTGGTCTTTTTTGTGCAAAAAACAGTTTGGGAATTGTTGAGATGTACTTGCTTTTGTTTTTTATAGTGAAACACAATGCAGTGTCAGTAAGTGCCATGAAAAATGGGCCCTACTATATATTATATACTATATTTGGGAGGGCGGACAATGCCATAATGCACACAACTCCCACCAGGTGTTGCTTTGAATGCAGCGTTCAGCAATTATCTGCACATAAACATACTGTACCTGAGCCTGAGGTCCTTTAGATCAGTTAAATCTGCTGTTGAAAGCAACATTGTTTGCCCAAATGTAACTTTTTTATCACTCGGAATCACAAGATTGAGCTCTAGAAAAGGAGAACGTCACAGCTTCTAAAAATACTTGTGATGTTTGTCCAGATGACATTTGTTTGTGGTGTACAGTCACTTCTGCACCTTCAGGAAGAGATGAGTCAAAAATATAAGCGTGAAGTCCAGACTGTTATGAAACAAAATCTTTTTCCCTTCAGTTGGTATTTTGTGGTGTAAAGCATTCTACTCTTTATAAAGTTGAGCACTGAGTCAGCAAGTGAAGTAGATCCTGGTTTCTTAAGCTCAGATATTTCTCACAGAAGTCACGTCTTGTTGCCATTTGGAGCAGTCATCATGCTGTGTTGCCTAGAGCAGCTTTGAAAAAATAGTTTGCCCTCACTCACTATTTTGCTGAGACTGAGACGAGAAGATTGATACCATACTTACATATGCCCAGTCAATATGAAGCCACAACCTGTGGTCTGTTAGCTTAGCTTAGTATTAAGACTTGGGAACAGGTAATAAAGCTAGCCTGGCTCTGTCTAAAGATTAAGAAAGCGCCTACCAGCACCTCTAAATCTTACTAATTCATCACTAATTTATCTCATTCTTGTGCCATCTTCTAATTGATTTGTGTACAAGCAGTCCTTGTGCTAATCTGAGATAACTGCTGCTGGCCTTAGCTACGTGGTTGGCATACAGACATGAGAATGGCATCGATCTTCTTTTCTAACTCTTGGCAAGAAAATGAATAATTACCAAAATGTCATACTATTCCTTCAGGAGACAAACATAGACACTAAATGATGTCTAATCATTTGCTTTCTGTGCCTTCGTTAGCTGGTGTACGAGTTCTTTCTGCGTTTCCTGGAGAGCCCGGACTTCCAGCCCTCCATGGCCAAACGCTATGTCGACCAGAAGTTTGTCCTGCAGGTAATCCTCTCTCTCTCCTCGCAGTTTGTCAAATCCAAAGCCCTAAGATGTCTCTAAAATCCTGATAAATGGAAAGGTATAAATAAATGAAGCTCTTCTTTGAAACTGCAGCCATCACAGAACCTCGTAATATCCCTGCTGGAGTGCTCTCCAATTTTGTTATCTAAGTCGGGGCACATATAAAAAATTGACTAAAAGACTCCGCAGTCCCTGTCGTACAACTTTTACGTTTAATATCCTGCTTTATTTTAGAAATTGACGGGGAAAAAAACAGTTTATGTAATATTAATTTTGCGTGGTGAATGGAAAAAAACACCATGAAATATTCTTACAGATGAAAGAAGTACAACAAATTATAGTAGAACAAAGACATTACTGTTTATGAATAGTTCAAATGACTTTAAAGTTAGGATTTGGTTGTCTTGATTTGGTGAGGAGGTTGGAGAATGAATGCATTCAGAAAAGGTCCTCACAAGAACTATAATGCAAACATACCGTACTTGTGTCTGTAATTATCGTGTGTGTGTGTGTGTGTGTGTGTGTGTGTGTGTGTGTGTGTAGCTCCTGGAGCTGTTTGACAGTGAGGACCCCAGGGAGAGGGAGTACCTAAAGACCATCCTGCACCGTGTCTATGGAAAACTACTGGGCCTCCGAGCCTACATCCGCAAACAGATCAACAACATCTTCCTCAGGTACACGCCGTCTTCCACCAATCCAATGCACAGGATTTACGGGTGCTATTTATGGCATCGTAACGTCAATAAATCAAACATTAACCAACAAAGATCATCAGCAGGGAGGAAGGCAGTGTTTATGACTTCTGTAATGCATGTTTTTAGTTTAATTAATGATGATCTTAAAGCACAAAACGGGAAAATTGTGGAGTGGTTCCTTAACAAGTGAAACAAGACACAGACAGCGTACAGCTCCTTTTTAATTAGCTGCATCAATACTATATAATACTGGATTCTTGTAACTTCCAGTTGTTATGGCTTTGCATCTATTTGGACATCATTTTGTGGATGCTTCTGTAGTTCTGTCACTGACTCTGAACTATACCCAGGAGGCTGGGGTTAAAGGGCCACTTCAACCCTGAATAAAATATATATTTTTCCTTTGACCTGTAATGCTATTTATCACTCTGGTTTGTTTTGGTGTGAGTTGCAGAGTGGAGAGATTGGCTGAGAGATGTCTGCCTTCTCTCAGATAGAGCTAAATGGCACTCAGCTTGTGGTACTCAAAGTGCCAAAAAAAATAAATTTGAAAAACTCAACAGCAATGTTTCTTTCCAAAAATCATGACTCTAGATAATCCACAAACCTCGTTGTGAGCGGTTTCATGTAGGAACTATGTTCTTTCTACTGAACTACACCCACCAAACATATCACCGCGCAGAAGGATGCTTGAACTGTGCCTTTAACAGTTTTCCCACACAGCTGCTCGTAATTATGGTCTATACAATGTGATGTCAATGAGGCATAAGCATCAACACAGATGAGAACTTGGAGAGGGTTTAAGGGACATGTTGTCTAAATTTTTGGGAGGCACAAAGTGCCACATGGAGTATTTTCTGGCTCAGATAATATTCTCATGCACACAAACAAGTCCACCACATGCTCAAACATGACTGTGCACGTTTGCAGTCCTGACACTGACCAGATCAGCAATGTATCTCCATTCTGCATCTATCTTGAGTGATAAATCATCGTGTGGTGACACATATCTCCTCAAATAATTGATCAAACGGCTCTGACTAACAAGAGTGCTGCGATGCAAACTCATGTTTCATCTTTCCCTTCACCAAGCGCAGCTGGATTGTTGTGTTTGCAATAATAATTCAAGCACTGGAGAGCTGCAACACGCTATGTTTCTGCCTCAGTTAACTGGTTTCAGTATCACTGTTCATTTTGACAACTCAAAAATGCAGTATAGGCGTAAATCTGCCCTTACTGTTATTGTACTTCAATTCTCTCTCCCATGATGACATCACAGAAGTAACAGAGTTGTATTCCAGACATAGTATACATCATGATATATGATGTTGGTAATTTTACACTAAGTTAACGGATTATGTTTTCTATTTCAAGACTTGCAGTCCTTCTTTAAGTTGATTTTACTTTTGTTTGATTAGAACAGCTACATGATCTACTGATGAATCATTACAAATCACTCTGTGTGTGTGTTTTGTGTCTGATCTTCAGGTTCATATATGAAACTGAGCACTTCAATGGAGTCGCGGAGCTTCTGGAAATCCTCGGCAGGTTCGTATCCACACACTTTGGAGCAAACTTTGTTGCACTGGAGGAAAGCATAATTTGTAGTATATCATGGCTTAATGAATGCACTTGGAGTTGAGTCTCAACACACACACACACACACACACACACACATTTATGTACACACATACTGCACTTGGCCAGCTGCTCCTATTCAGGAGACAGCTGGTAACCCAATGAATTAAGCAGCTACGAAAAATGGCGACAAAGCATAACCACTACTGAAACTGCTCAGCACAAAAAACAATATGCATTTATTTTTTATTTATTATCATCCTTCCTTCTTATCAGGTAAACACAACAGTGTAAAGCCTGTCGGAGTGAGAAATGAGTTACAAGGCATGGGGGGAAATGAGTAAACGTGGGGGGTGACAGGGAGGAGAGACGTAAACAAGACGGGGGGTTAAAGACACAAATGAGAAATGATTCAGAGGTTTGTATAGTTTGTAGCTGTGTCTCTGAGGCCAGTAAAAGAAATATGAGCAAGATAGAAATGAGGCGAGAGCAAGGACGGAAGCCAAACTGATAAACAAACATGTCTTCCTCTCTGCTTGTGCTCATACACAAATCAATGGGCACAAGAACAGAAAGATGGATAAAGAGAAAGGAAGGGAGGGAGAAAATGGAGGATGACTACAAACAAGAGTGATGATGTCATCTAGTTTATGTCCTCAATTCCCCTGTATACAAAATCATGTTAAAGGGATGGTTCAACATTTTAGGAATAACTTAATTTCTTTCTGTGACATACTCACCAGCACCTCTAAAGCTGTCTTGTTTACATAATCTAAATTATTTGATTAAACCACAAATGGGCTAATTAGCTAGGCTAGGTTGTGAGCGCAAGCATCCAGTGTAGAGCTAGTGTTAGCATTGATTGTTAGCTCTTCTCATAATTTGTCTTTCTTTGAGGCACATTTTCTGAAAACATCAGATGCCGGGTGCAGCTAACATTGGCTCTACACTTTAATTAATAATCTAAGCTCACTTCACAGCCCTAGCTAAAGTAGTTAGCCACCTGTACATAGCATGTGTCCATGTTTAGCTAATTGAAAAATTGGTTACTGCTAGTTGTACTTACTTGCTTTAGCTAATGAGAAGAATGCAGTGAATAATTGCTTTTCATTGAAGGACATTCTAATGGCTAAAATCTGCTGTGACTTTTGTGCTTAATTATAGACTTAATCATCGCTAATGACGACAATAGCAGAGATATGTGAAATCAGCAAACTTGTTGATTTCTGTTTTCATTTTCAGCTGTAACTGTAACGTTTAAAGATATATAGCTTAACACGGTCGTCTGACCCATTTGACGTTTCTGCTGTGCTTATTTTATATACTTTGTTGCTTTGCTATCATCTCTAACAAACTAAACCTACCGGCACGGACGCTAAACAATGGACTGCTGTGGATGCGGGTGCAGCAAAGCGTAATTTAGCCACCAAAAAAAAAAAAAAATCAATATTAGTGTAAGTGCACATTCTATTTGAATATTTGCCATGCTTCACCTTACACACTAACTATTCCACACAGCGGCAGAACAGCAACTTCAGTGTTCTGCTAAGTTAAATGACTGCTTTTGTCAATGTAGTTTGGTGGCTTTAATTTGATGGCTTCATTTCCCCATTAAAAGGCTGTCTAATGTGGTGAAAATATTTTTAAGATAGTGTACACTTAAGCTGATATTGGCATTTTTTAGATGGCTAAAAACTAACTTACTTACATTTTATGTATGCGATGTGAGGATTTTCTAGCCGGAAATATTTGTAATTAAACATTGTGATTAAGTCTATTCAACACTATTTAGGCAGAAATGCCTTTAAATATTTTTTTAAAATTAATTTTCTACATAGAATAAGTGGAATAAAAGGAGGGCATTAGGGTATAATGCAAGGCTTAGCCATAGCTCCTGTTGGTTAGCATGAGTACAAAATCTATTTGCTCCTGTCAGAGTTGTGTCTTCCTCTTATGAACATTTCAAAAATCAAAATGTCATTAACACTGGCTTTTTACTTTGATGCTGAATAATAGGTTAGGGTTATAATCCAAGCTATATGACAACCTAGCTAGTTAGCTGGCTAGCTAGGTCATGGCCTTGTCATGCTAACATAGATAAAAGGAAAAGGCAGTTGCAGTTTCTTTCTCAGAGAAAGCAAATAAAAGTATTTAAGATGTAGATATAACACAGCTTTATCACTCCAAACTAGCAATGACATTAGTTTATGACATACTTCTGTTACATAAACAGACATGTTGATAGTGCGGAAAGATTGAGACACGGAGAGATGGAAGGAGACAGAGAATAAACAAAAGACGATGGAAGATGGGAAATCAGAAAGCAAACAAAGAAATCATTATTAGAGTCAATAAATATTAATTTCTCTCAAGGGCGTTCTGGTGGCTGACTCTAGCATGTGCCCTCTGTCTTTGTCTTCATTATTCGACACTAATAAGACAGAGGTGCCTTCAAATAATCCTCACTGATGTTAAACATAGAAGAAAATAAAGAGAGTTAAAAAGAGGGATGAATTCAGAGAGGTTTGGAGAGACTGGACTCTCACTTATACTGTTTTGTTTTGGTTTTTTTTTGGTTTTTGCCAACATAATAAAGGTTAAAGAGATTCATACAAAATCTGAAACCTTTTTGCCACCCACAATCATCATGTCAGCTGATCCAAAAAAAAAGTGAAATCAGAACTGAACGCTGACTTTTGAGGTTGAGAGCTTTGGGTTAATGTAGAGAGGGAGTTCGAGGAGAGGATGAATCCAAGGTGTGAAAACAAGAGGAAGGAAAGGAGGGATGAGAGATGGAGAGAGGACGAGTGAGTTAACAGTGAGTCAGAAGTGGAGGAAGGAGAAGGGAGAAGCAGGAGAGGAGAGAGAGAGGTTTGTATTCATGTTGGTGGTAACAGAGGTATTTATAGCTCCTCCCACACATGGAGAGAGGGAGAGAAAGATGGGTGAGGGAGGATGCATTGTACAGAAAGAGAAAGAGAGAGAGAGAGGAAGAAGACAGGAGGCAGAGAGGAAGATTAGAGGAACAGCAGGAGGGAGATACTGAAGAAATTAAACAAAGATGCTATTAGAAAAGGACGGCAGACAGACAGGTAGACTGATACAGAGACAAACAGATAAATTAAGTGCTGCTAAATAAGAGTCGTACTCTCCAAGTTTAGTTCCCACTCTTCCACAGCTCATGCTCTTTCCACCGTAGGCTGAACTACCACTATGTCAGTCAGTGTAGCAATGAGCACAGCAGACCACGCATTTGTCTATTCACTTGGAAATGGACACAGTACAAGAATAGATTCCACCACACAGACAAAGGCACATGTGCGCACGTGATGTTTTTATGTAAATACATGTCAGTTTTGCTGCTGTCTATTCAGTTAAAATACCAACTACGTCAGCTTGTTGTTTTTTGCCAGGAAGAACACAAACTTGATAAAAAGAAGAGTTCATATGGTACACAGTGAAAGTACGTCACTTGTAATCATGTATTTGTCACATAACGTCATGCAAGATACAACTTCAGTTAAATGCGATCCCGTCAGCTCCTTCAACTTGTATATCGCAATTCAGTGCCTTTTTTGCCTCTTCTTAAATTCTAGGCTGCTGCTTTATAACTGTCCATGTTTCCAGATGGTTCTGGTAATCCATGGTTTCTGCTTGTGGAATTATTTTACTGTAGTTTTGGGTACAGTTGCATCCGTTGTTAAATCCACCACAGACTCAATGAATTCATTGATGTCATCCGTGACAACGGATGATGGTATCCTTGAACTTGCTCCAAACTCAAACTGGATCCATCTCTTGCGCCACTGGGGGGATGCATCATAGTTCGTATACATATCTTGACCTCAACAAGATGGCTGCATGGTTGCACCTACTGAACACAGGCAGCAACTACGCTCTGCAGCTGCCTCTGAACAGCGTTTAACAGTGACCCAGAGCGAGCAGGAACAGGATAGCACCTCACACTCCCACTGTCACACCAGTCCTTATTCATCATAAAGCACACGCCTCTGCCTTCCTTTTGTTTGCCAGAGTCTTCTGCTCTGCCGGATGAGCATATAGAGAAAGAATAATATGGTTGCACGACGCTGTCCAAGATATATCCAAGTTTCAGTGACACCTATATAACTGTGACTTTCCTTTCCTGTCCTCCAGCATCATAAATGGCTTTGCCCTGCCCCTGAAGGCCGAACACAAGCAGTTCCTGGTTCGGGTCCTCATCCCGCTACACACGGCAAAGTCCCTTTCCATCTTCCACGCACAGGTCTGTGACATTCTCCTGCAACATCCACTATTTAAATGTATTTGTTTGTATATTACACTACTTCGTAATCTCTAGTATTACCACCAGTTTCTTTTTCTGAAGTTAAAAACTTTAGACACCCCTTCATTTTTTAGCCTGTGTAACACCAGTTTACACAGTTCCTGATATAGTTTGATGCCATGCCTACATCCACATGCAGGGACATATGTGTATTTGAAAGTCTGTTGTACCTTACAACTGTTTTTCATGTGTGTTTATGTGCTTATGAAGGCCAACACTGATCCCGTTTACTGGTATATTGTACTATTGTTATGACTGTAATTTCCCCATTTTCAAACTAAGCAACCAAACACTGAATTATGTTTATGCCAGGGTGTAAACGTCACTGAAACTATATTTAGATCTCAGTAAGCTACAACTATCAAATGGCTTTGCAGTTCTTCTGACTGAGGCATGCGTTGTTGTAGGTTTTAGAGACCTTTCTCCTCCAAGTATCAGATTCACACTGAGGTGTAGTTTATCTTCTGGCTTCTCTACTAAGAAGATATTCAGGGGCCTGATTATAGAAAATAATCCTTACTGCTGGTCTTATCTTAAAAGATCTTCCTATTACAGACACAATACCTAAACTCATTGCTGTGTCCTATCTCAGACCTCCTCTCTTATCTTAACTTAAAATCCTGACTATAACTGCAAATTTGATTCTTCGATGCCCACTCGTCCTTTCCTTCCAGTATCCGTGTTTACAACTTACATGAGACTGCCTGTATCTTTGATTTGAATGTATCAGTGTGCTACTTAAGATGGACAACCATAATATCATAGGCTCTCAGTTGCTTATTATAGCTAGCTTGCTGTCATGGACAAAAAGAGATGGGTGTTCAGTTTTAGCTACGAGAAGTCAGACGCACTAATCGTGTCAATTTTTTAGATTAATTATTAAATGAATTAATTTGAATTGTTTATTAAAATTTAAAGAGCCATGCTACAGTTGGAGTAGCCTCTCAATCGTTATATTTCAGGGTTCATTTTGTTCCCCATCTCCATTATCATTGCCTTAAAGAACCAACAACACTGCTGCTGCCATTTTTAGCAGTTAGGTTCTGTGAGTAAGATAGGATTTGTTTCCTAAATGCGGTCAGGAAACATATTTCTGTAATACCAGAAACCTTAAATGTCATCCCAAACTGAGATAAGATAGGATTTCAGGAAGTGTCTGTAATGAGGCTCCAGATGTTTTTCCTACACTGAAACATCAGCCATACAGGAACATGTCTCAAATGATAGTTTGGGATTCCTGCAATGTGTCAAATGTACCACTAGGAGGCAGAGTTTGGTCACAGATAGTACTGCAGAGAAATGCGCTCACCTTTGAATCACACTCAGCATGGGTGCCTTTGGTTTTTTCAGTCTGTGAGTGTTTGTGTATGAGTATGTGTGTTTGGGTTATCATAATATTTGATGACACAGATGGCAGCCAGTCTATTGTGTGTGCGTGTGTGTGCATTTTATTTGTGCCACTCATTATTTGATTATGCGCAAGGTAGGGTTTTTATAGAGGTATGTGTGCAAGTGTGTGTGTGTGTGTGTGTGTGTGTGTGTGTGTGTATTCTGGGTCTCAGCATCACCGTGCCCTACATTTCTCCTCCCCGTCTCTCTCCCTGTGGTCCACACACATACATTATTCACACACTCAAACACACACACACTCAGTTTGACGGGGTCACGGGGGACACATGTGAGTGGACAGCAGTTTTGTGCTCAGTAGGTGTGGCTGCGCGGAAGTGACCCAGTTCTGGATCTGAATATCGAAATAAAATATCAAAGCAGCATCTTTTCTTCATCTAAAAGGTTTTTCAACACTTGAATCATCCTTCCTGTAGCCCTATGAAGGCATTTCTCATTTATATTCATGCCACTAAATTAGAGTAACAGCAGTTGGAGCTATGTTTTGTAGCCACAACATGGTTACACATCATGGTTCCAAATATCAAAAAGCAAATGCAGTGATTATGTATGAAAGAACATATCAGACTCCCTTACTATATATCTGAACTGAAATAATAATTTTTGCCAAGACCCCAGTATATCCTTGGTGTTCGTTTGACTTATCTACTGATTTGCTTAAAACTGCAATTATTAAAAAGAACATACAGGTATTTCAATTTCATCTACATCTCTGCAGCGACAGTGGTCAGTTTTGACACTCTGCTCCACTTACCCAGCACTGATTTGCCCCCCTTCATGGTATAATGTGGAACAAACACAACACTGAGTGTGCAGGAGCTGCCAAATGACATGACACAAGCAAAATGTAACTTCTAGTGGGAATCAGTAAAAGCAACAGCAAACTAAGATAACTAGCCACTGTTCTCTCGCGCTCCCACACTACTATCAAACTGTAATACAAGGTAGTGCTGATCATATATAAACCAACATTCTGTTATCGTGTTTCCTATTTCTAAGCTAAAATGTATTCAGAAGCAAAGTTTAGTGCACTGTTTGGCTGTAATGTGAGAATTTGTGAACAGGAAGTGGATGCCATACTGTTTCCCATATTGTAAAAATGGAGGCTGAAAATACTGAGATCAAATGATAAAACTAACTGTGCGGATAAAATATGAACCAAAATTCTGTTACTGTGTTGCCTACATCTCAAATGAAATGTTTTTAGGAACATATTTTGGCATACTGTTCATACCAGCAGGCTGCCATATTGTTTCCTGTGACAAAAAGGCCAAGCTCGTATTACGCCACCCACCAGTGGAAGCGTTTATTGGTCTGGTGTAGTGCAATTCATTCTCGCAGTTGAAGTTGAGCAAAAGAAAATGCCAAAGCCCCTTTTGTGTTGTGTTGTGGAGGATTCAGTGACTTGCATAGTTTACATGCAGTGCTTCAGATGCAGTTCCTGCCATCTGGTGGTCTTTTTTACGTTACTACAACAACAGTTTGGCTGGCACATGAACAGTCACAGTGACTGAAATAATTGAAATAATAATAAAACTAGGACAAGAATAATTCGATGACATCACACGTAAAAGACGACTAGGAATTATTCGTCATGGACCATCGTGTCTGTCATGTCTGTCGGCCAAGTCATGGCACAATTTTATGACTCCACAATCACGTAATCTGACATAGTGTCTATCGGAACAGACAAAAATGTTGTGTTGTGTGAACCCGGCATAATTAAAAGTAGTTTAAAAGCATTTTTTTATGTGCAGATTTTAACAAATTTACAGTGAAAGGGCCAACATTAGAGATCTCTCGAATGACTTCATACTCAAATATAGACCCTAATTTGACCTGTCACCCTGACAGATCAATATTGGTAAAGTCTCAGCCCAAAAAAGACTACAGTGTCCATAATCCTTAGCCTAACAACGGCCTCCTGCACTCACAAAGCCCGGCCTGACAACAGAATCCAACATCATATTTACCCCAAGCAGTTTCTCTAATGCTTCGCTAATACTTTAAATAGTTTGACCGATCAGCACCTTTATTTTAATCCTCCTCTTTTTCCTACTTTACTTTTATTTCAAACTTGACATCCCTGCTTTCACCAGTCCCTTTTTTTAGCCTCCGCTCCCTCTTTCCCTCTGCCTCTGTAACCATGTTGTGGTGCGAGTGAGGGACAGGAAAGTTAGGGATGGAGCGAGTGGAGAAGACAAACAAGAAAGGTGCTCCGCAGGAAGGAAAAGGGATTAGACGGGAAAAAAGATGAAAGCTGTTTAAGATGTGAAAGCCAGACAGACAGAGAGACAGACGATAGTGCTACAGGTCAGGAGTGAAACAAAGACAGAGACAACAAAAAAAGAAGAAAGAAAGTAAAAAGTGATGTCCTACAAAAAGTTCGAAAACAACCATCAATAGTCTGACAGTACACAACCTCTACTGTCTGCAGCTATACAATTGGAGAATCCAGCACACTTTTATATTGATGACACTTGAACTTACTTATCTAGAAGTTGTAAAATAGACGAGTACAGTAATAATTTCAACAAGGCAAAGGTATAAATAGGACGGAGGAGGAAAGACAGAGAGGCAGAGACAAGAGGTCTAAACTCTATCTCACATTGCCCTTAAGGGACTTCGTGTGTGTGACATCACTCCTTCCGAAGTAAACACACGCACACACAGTCTCCGTCGCCACGGTGCCCACTCGCCACGGCAACCGGCCTGGGCGGAGGGGGCAACCGCAAAACACACACATGCACACGCACACACGTACGCGCACACACACTCGCTGAATAATGGGAAATGATTGCAGATCATATAAGAGGAGACAAGAGCTGATGTCGAAGTACACACGCGCACACACACACACACACACACACACACACACACACACACGTGACACACATCTCCCCTTGGAAAACTTGTCTTTCCGATCTTTAGCAGAGTGTAATCCTGAGGGATAAGTGCTAAGATCCCTCTTGTCTCCTTGACAGCTTCAGGGAATGTGTGAGTGTTTTTATGTGTTGGTGTGTGTGTGTGTGTTCTAACCAGGTCTCCTCTGTCTTTATAGCTGGCCTACTGTGTGGTGCAGTTTATGGAGAAAGATGCTACAGTGACTGAATATGTAAGACTTTTTTTCATTACATTACTGTGCTTACAACAAGCCACTTGCTATGTAAATCTAAAGGTTAATAAGTTCTTAATTTTGTAGTTTTGGCCACCGTTTCTATCTGCCAAGTTAACTGCTGTGATATTGCACCATGGTGACATCACTAACAAGATGTCAGACACGGAAAGAAATAATCCTATACGTAGCTGCGCTAATCAGTATTTTCGCCTTGACAGTGGCTCACATGACTACATGTAACCTGACAGTTGTCTCACGTGGTGACAAACCTACAGAGAATTATGGTGCATTCCATTTGACATTCCAAATCAGAAATTTCAACTGGAACACCCCTAACAACACATTCTCACTCCGACCTCGTCACATATTAATGTTTGGTCAAGGACTTTCCATATCCAGATATGACGTGCAAGGTTGTTGAGGTTCTGGGACGCCATGTTAAGTTCTGCCTGGTACATTCATTGTCTTTTTTTTTCACAGGAAATGTACAGTGTGCATACAGTCTCTTTCAAGATAAACACACTAAATCGGTACAACACTGCAAATTGACATTTTTCTTCCTTCAACAACAAATGCACATTGTTTCATTTTGCCAATGCACATACGTGGTTGGGTTTAGGCAACAAAATCATGTGGTTGGTTTGAGGAAAAAAGAACAAGGTTTGGCTTTACAGTCTTATGGGACACAAACTGCGCCCTCCCAGGTGACAGTCAGGTGGTTGTTGGACCCATCTACCACCCCTCCCGCTCACCCTACTTGGACTTTTGCCACCTTAACTTTATTTCTTGTCCTGTCACGTTTCCCCCTGATGCTTCTTGGCGCTGTTAAACTATAACAGTGACCGACCATGTATCATGCCAATGTGAAAGGACAGCTTTTTTTGTTGGTGTCTGATGCAGGAAGTCACTGCCCAAACACCAAATTTCGACGACTTAGTGAGACCCAGTGAGACTGGATTGCCCCTAAAGTCAGATTTTCAACTCGGAAAATTGGAGGAACCTCATCAACCCCTAATGAAAAATCCAATATGATTGTTCCATGCATCAACAGTAGTGAAAGTTGTTTATCAGCACTTCTGTGGACATGTTGCTCCTGTGTTTCATTGTGCAAAATACATCGTAACGCGTTGGGCTCTAGTTTCCCGGCGTAGCGCAGGGTGGCGCAGGGTGGCGAACCCCTCGCAGAGCTAGTTTCTAGCAGCGCAACCCGAGGCGCTCTCAGTTTGGTAGTTTGGCAGACCGAGGTGCGCTGAGATGGGTGTGGCGGCGCAGCAGGGGGAGGTGTCAACAGATCCAGCTTGGCGCAGTGACAGTTTCGTGCCAAAAGGCTTTGCCAAAGGTGCGCTAAAAGCTCGCCAGCTGAAATCAGGTCTCTGTCAGTGCAGGCGGAGCGCAGCCGGTGTAAGCCGAAGTTTGACTGACCAGCGGATAGTGCGCACATGTCACCAAAACCTCACAGGCAGGTTTCCAGAATATCAGGCACATTAACAATGCAATAAATAGCCACAAAAAACACTATGCAATGCAACTATCTGCAATCAGCACATAAATGTATCTCTATATCGACTGTCCCGTCACATCTGATGTCAGATCAAAGGGGATTGGCACCATTTGGCACGTTTGGCACGCGTAATGGAAACCCAACCTGATTTGATTAACACAGCTGCAAACTAATGAGTTCACATCCCTCTCAGCCAACCACAAACAGCCACAGCATCAGATAGGGAGAATATATTCAGCATCTGTCATCTTAGAAAAGTCAAAAGAAAACAAACAGAGTGAGACTGCGAGAGAGAAAGAAAGAGAGCACACGCGTGCATGAGAGAAACGCAACATTGATTTACAGTTGTGGTGACCTCCTCCCAGGCTACCTTTGCATCATCAGCCGGTAGAGGTCTGCTCGCAGTTCTGTATATTCGGACACTGCGAGCAGACCTCCCGGACCAAAACATCAGTTTCCTCCTGGGAGAAGTTTGGCTGTCTGACGCTGCTGCTGTCTTCTGCCATGGCAAACTGAGTAAACTCTCAGTAGCTGAGTAGCTGCGCCAGGCGCACGATGTGCCAAACTTGCAAAATCAGGCAGTGCTTACATTGATGTGCCTTGAACTGCTATTGGTGACAGTTACAGACTGTATATAACAATGGACGACATAACAGCTCCCTAAAACATCTCGATCGCATCTGGTGGCTCGCTTTAGTACAGGTCGTAAAGCCCACCTCCTCCATGTTAGCAGATGGGACATGGGCCAACAGGGATCAAAGTACACAAAGATCAAAGTACAATAAATTTTTCTCAGAGATGATTTCTTTAATTTTAGGTACTATTTAACACACTGCTGTATGTTCAAGTGTCTGTGTTTCTGATAAGGATGGTTTTAAATAATTATTTCATGCTGTAAAAGGGGGTTTGACGTCCTGATTGACAGCTCACAATCAACAATGCTGCATGTGATTGATCGGAGTGAAGTATGGGCGAGAACTCTATTCCACACAGATTTCTACTGCACGAACTCTTGCTCCAAATTAGTTATTCAGAAGTAAATCACTTGGAAAACAAAGGTGGAACAGTAACATTTTTACCCAGTCTTTGTGTTGTAAACATCCCTCACAGTTACAAAATGACTCCCTGAATCAACTTTGACATATTGTAGGTAATTTTCCCATGCAATGAGGAGCTATTACCAAAATCTTGAATCTCAGCATTTACCTCAGTGAGTACAGTGTTATCATAACTGACAGAAATGATGGCCAAAACTACAAAATAAGTACTCAATACAAAGTTAATGACATATTTCTTAATGCACTATCCAGAGTATGAATATGAGTTAATGGAGATGGCGCAGATGGACGTCAGCCAGCTACCCTGCTGAGCTAATGGCTGCAGTGTTTATTCATATTAATGCGCTTCATATTTTTCTCTGCAGATCATCAGAGGGCTGCTCAAATACTGGCCAAAAACCTGCACGCAGAAAGAGGTGAGACAGCAGATAATTAAAAAAAGACGCTGATGTTTCTCAGCTTCTCTCATTAGTCACTGACCAAAAACAGCTGTAATATTTTCTCATGTGATACTGTGATTTCTTAAATATTTGTTGCTCTTGCAGGACTCTTGTAGGACTATAGTGTGAGGTGTTTTTCAAAGTGTTGTGGGAGTCATGTGAATGTCTTTTCTGTCCTTTATGTATCGATTATAAAAATGTCTGTGTATGTAGGTGATGTTTCTGGGGGAGATTGAGGAGATCCTGGATGTGATCGAGCCGTCTCAGTTCATCCGGGTCCAGGAGCCGCTCTTCAAACAGATCGCAGCCTGTATCTCCAGCCCTCACTTCCAGGTATACAATGTACCTTCCTACATTTAAACAATGCTGAAATGTTGAAAAGATATCATCTAAAGCATGTATTTTAATAGTGGAAAACCCCAACTAAAACAGTTTTGGGAGTAATAAACCCGCCTACAAATTCATCATGTCACATCAAGAATCATGTTACAGCTTTCTTAAACTCTTCTGTCTGTGTGTTTGTTTTAGGTAGCGGAGCGGGCTCTTTACTTCTGGAACAACGAATACATCCTCAGTCTGATAGAGGAGAACTGTCAAGTCATCCTGCCGCTGGTATTCGCCACCCTCTACAGAGTCTCCAAGGAGCACTGGAACCAGTCAGTGGCTCACACAAACATACAAATGAATACAGCTCATATCTCAGAGCTTTTGATTTTGAGATTTGCGTCAGTGTGGGTGTAACCTCAAGCTGTTACTGATTGCATGGTGGAAGAAGTATTCGGATCCCTTTTTTGAATTAAAATTATCATGTAAAAATTCTGCATTGTGACTAAAAGTCTTGATTTTAGAATTTCACTTACAGGGATACTTTGCTGATTTTCAACCAGGTCAGTGTCACCATGGTGTGGGGAGTTTGTGCAGATGAATGGTGTTTGGCTTTACCCCGCCGTGCTGGCAGTGCTGGGAGCTCCCCACCTGTGCCGTGAGCAAAAATCTGTCAGATGATGCGAAATGGATTTTGGCTGGTGGACGGGTGGGGAGCTCCTGGAGCTGGCAGCTCCTTCATCTTCACACACTCGTCACACCACCGTGATTCAGATCTTGTTAAAAGTTAGGGATGCAAAAGGCACCTCTCTAGAGCCAGTGATTGGTTTGTCCATTCTGGGCTACTGTAGAAACATGGTGGTCCAACATGGTGGGCTCTGTGGAAGAGGACCTGCTCCCTATGTGTTTATGAGGAGCTCATTCTAAGCTAACAAAAACACAACAATTGTTACTATCAGGTGATTATACACATGATTATGACTATGCCACTAGATCCTCCTTAATCCTACACACTGGTCCTTTGAGTGAATGTACTTAGTTATTTTCCACCACTGCTAATGCATAACAATTTCACTCAGCATTTAGCTTCACAGCTGCTGCAAACTCTTATTTCCTGACACTGAGAAATATGTGCAAGCCTTTTATTCTCGAACAGTGTATGAAAAAAGTTAGCATTCGAGCTAATAGTCTACAAGGGACACGTGAATGACCCTCATGTTATTATCCAGGCAACACTTATGGCTGCTAATGGCTTAATCTCTCCAAAACACAAGCTTTTCTAACCTCTATCTCGTGACCCATAATGCCACGGGACTGGTGACAGTCCAGGTTCATTAAACTTCTCACTCCATCTCTTCAGGACCATTGTGTCTCTGATCTACAACGTGCTGAAGACCTTCATGGAGATGAACAGCAAGTTGTTTGATGACCTCACTGCCTCCTACAAAGTGGAGAAACAGAAGTGAGTGTGACTCACTCTCTTTGTGTGTGTGTGTGTGTGTGTGTGTGTGTATGTGTGTGTGTGTATGTGTGTGTGTGTTTGTGTCACTGGATACAACAGTGACAACAAGAGGAAGAAACAGAGGGCTCTTAAGTCATGTTTTAAACGGTATTTGTTCCATTATCCATCACATTATATTTCACATTGTGAGCATGTATCGCTTAGGTCATCTTTTCAACATGGATCACATCATGATTCCACTTATTCATGACTCTGTTTTCAAAGTCAAGATAGTGGATACTTGGGAAAACTTAAAGGAGCAGTTCAACATTTTTGCTTTCTTTGCACGAGTGAGATAAGAAGATCAATATCAATTTCATATTTGTGAATTCAGTAAAAGGTAGGGTGTGGTTAACTTTAGCATAAAGACAGGCAGGGGAAACAGCTAGCCTTGCTCTATCCAAAGCTTAAAAATTATGCTTACCAACATCTCTAAAGCTGACTTATTTACATGGCCTGTGTTGTTTGATTTAGCCTTGCAGCAACCATTAGTATCCTCATAAAACTGCACTTTTCATGCTTCCACTTACAATGCAGTTCAGGCCAAATCAATTTTTTGTCTTAAGACCTTTATATTTGAACTCTTCAATTACAAAACTTAATTTGATTAATTTTTTCAAGGCTGCATCTCTTGTCGTCATCAAATGCCATAGGTTGTCAATCAGCCGTTGTCAATAACTTAGTTTAGATAAGCTTGATTTTATTATTTCCACCAGGTGTAAGCCTGGAGGGGGTCATGGGTTTATTTGTGTGCCTACGTGTGTGTATCTGTCTCTCTGTCTCTCTGTCTCTCTGTCTGTCTGTCTGTCTGTCTATCTGTCCGCAGCTAATCTCACATACTACTGGACCAATCAGCCTAATATTTTTTGTGCATATTTTACGATTGTATGCTCAAAGACCTGTTGTGGTTGCACTGATTCACAATTTTTGAAAAACCTGCTTTATTGCAAGTGGTCAACAATAAGCCTTACCTAGTCTGTTGCAGGCATAGACTGTATATAATAATGGACGTTGCTTTTGTGATGTCACCCATTGGTTTGTGGACTGCTGTTATGAAGTCCTGAGTTTGGCATGTCAGCAGCCCCACCCTAAATTTGCATAACTTTAAGCCGTAATACAATGTTAATGGGCAAGTTATATAAAAATTCATCAGTGGTCATGAATGTTGAAATTAGCTACAGAGACAAAAGTGTTTTTTGCTCCAGACTGTGAACTTGTTTATTTCTTATGTAAAGTTGGGCATTTTAACATGGATGAATATGGGGATTTATTCTGTTTTGGAGCCAGCCTCAAGCGGCTGTCAGAGGAACTGCAGTTTTTGCACTTTGCATTTGCTGCATTTTTCAGTCAGAAAGTCTGTCCCTGGGTTGTAGGTAGCAGGCCACATTTTGGCCTTTGTTGTGGCTAAAAAAACTGACATCCATAGAAAAGGTTTTTTATATTTTGAACTGAAGCATCTGCAGAGTAATTCCATACCTGATAAGTTTTGATCCTCTAAATTCAGGCCAGTTACGAGATGAATAAATTGCTGTTTTTGTTATCCTTGCCGCCATCTCGACTGTTAGGAAGTTTGAATAAGATTCAAGTCTTTGTTTGGGAGGGGAGAGGAAGGTGGGGAGAGGGGTCTTGTTGGACATTGTGTCTGAGGGTTGTCTCCTTATAGCCTGTCTCCTGTCTACTCTGGTTAGACCTTGATAATGTAACCTGTGTATTGGCTCCCATTCATTCAACTACTGTCAAGGATATTCACTGCTCCCACCCACATGTTCCCCGATACACCTGCCAGAGATCTGCACTCTAGCACTAGTTTATAGTTAATTTAGAGCTGTTGTTCACATTTTTTAAACCATAAACTGGAATATTACATTTACTTTGCCTTATTTTTCTCAAATAATTAATGGCATTCTCAAAGTCTTTCTTTGGAATATATGAAATGTGTTTCTATACTGGACCTTAGACAATTTACTTGCAACTAATGTGAGATTATGATCTTACACGCCTGTTAATAGATTTTATGTCTTTGAAGGTCTGCTTCTTTCATGAAAATTATACCCAGCACAGTTTGGGGAATGTTGTTATTTGTATTGCGCTTATGACCATTTCTGTCAACTGAAACCAATTAGTGTTGTCTTTTAATTTTCTTCCTACATGTTTTGTCTAACTAATTAAGATTAAAATTGCCCATTAAGAATTTCATTACATTCATTATCCATCCATTGTGTTCTACAATGTCAGATAAATGATCAAAGAGCACATCCTTCACAGCTGGTGGTCTATTACAACTATAATTACATTAGAAGACATTTGAGGAAAAAGTGTGATGGTAGCTCCAACTCACTCCATCCTTTCTCTTTGGATTTTTGTTTATACTTAATGCCTTCCTGTTAGTAATTGCTCAAGTTGTTCAGTCTTCAGACAATGCTCTTTAAATTGAAGTATTCAATAAAGATCCTTGGGCATATCTGAAACATTTTCCAACAGCTCATTTCTTGTTTCCTTTCTCTCCATCCCTCCTTTTTCTCTTCTTCCCTTCAATGTGCCTCTCCAGGGAGCTGAAGCGAGAGAGGGAGCGTGCAGACCTCTGGCGAGGCCTGGAGGAGCACCAGGAGCGCCGGATGCAGATGCTCACCGAGGCGGCCAGAAACCAGCGCAACCTCCAGGAGCGAGGCGAGAGAGGGGACCCACCGACCCCTTCGTCCCCGCAGACGGCTCACTCCGACCAGCCCGAGCCCAAGCCCAGCGGGGCCTCCTCTTCCTCCTCTGGAGCCGGGGAGAGCGCCACCTAGGTGCTGCTCCACACAGATTGGATAGCACGGGGGGTTAGGGGACAGGGAGAAGACATGAGGCTGATGGTGAAAGTGTTGGGAGAGAAAAGGTACAAAACAAATCCACTGTTCTTTTTATCTTGTATCATCGAGGGCGTGGCTTTTTTTTAAAAAGCGCACAAACTCAGTGATCTGAGGTAAAGACTGCACCTTTTTTTCTGACAGAGTTGTGTGAAACTGGTTCACTTTTTGCTGTACACACATTATGTTGCAGATCAGAAGATGAATATTGTCCAAAAGTGCAGACTGTCATTTTAACTAGTGGCTGGTTTATAAACTGCAGGTCAGTATCCAAAACTGGTAGCTGGCCTGCTTCAAATCAGCCTCAAAATAAGAGATGAAACTTCTCTTTTGGTGCAACACTAACAAAGTTTAACACGTGTCTAACTCGTCTTGATATTTAACCAACCGAGTTTGAGTCTGTACTGTGGCCTTGTATTTATCTTTTGGTCAGAGATGCTTATTTCTTGCGTGGATAGCACAATACATTAATAAACAAAAGAAGCAATTTCACACAAATGTCCCAAAACTATTGACGCACAGACCAGACACACAAACCGTTACACACACACAGACACACCGACGCAGGTACATATTTACTGTAAATATGAGTAGACAGAGCTACAGAGTGAAAGTGTATCCAGGTCAAACGAAGCTCACACACCAACACTCGATAGACGCACCAAAATATTTCAAACTTTTTTTTTTTTTAAATAATTTACATAGACACACACTCACATACGTACAGACTCACACACTCACACACACCGCTGGTTCTGGCGCTAACTCTCCCATTCTGTCGGGTTCCACCAAAGGACGAGCCTAAAGTCCCTCAAGGTTAAATAACCACTGTTGAAGATGACGATAATGATATAAAGTACAATACTGTTCCTTCTTCTTACTTGTTACTCTACTACTACTACTCTACTCTACTCTAAGTACTACTGATGATGATGATGATGATGATGATAATGTTTTTATATATATACATATGTCTCTGGATATTTCTGTAGTGTATTATGGGAGAAACACTAGTGTAGCAGATACCATAAAGGGGAAGGCCGGCTTGAATTCTGGATTCACATCACATGTTAACTGTATGAGGCCATAATGTGAGTGCTGAAATTCAGCGGAATTCCCCTTTAACAGACCTTAAAGAGGGGAGGAATGAACTGGATTGGCTGTGGCTGTTTTTCTTTTATTTTGAAATTCTGGGGTGTTTGTGGTGCGTTGGGTGAATTCTAAAGGGGTGTTGCGTAAAAAAAAATATCCCAAAACATTCCATGTTTAAAGATTTATTTATTTATTTGTTTGTTAAAGGTGCCCTTTGGAGATTTTTGCAAACAAAATTATGTTTACATTCAGTGTTACACACCAAAACACATTTTGTGTATGTCTTGAATGCATTCCCTTCATCATAAGACATATGTAAAGTTGATTTTTTAAATTATTTTAACTCTTGCATTGTTTACATAAATGTTTACTTGCTCGCAATTCTCTTCTTCCCTGCCTTTGTTGGCATATTGAAAAGTTTCTTTGCACCTTACCGCCATCAGTTTCAAATCAGTGGAATAACATAAAAACAGTCAAGTGCATCGCCCATGTGCCCATGTGCCCATGTGCCCATGTGCATACATGTGAAACCTTTAGCGCAATACAAACATAATGGGGACCTGCTCATAAAAACATTGCTCTATAGCACTACTAGTGGTCAAAAATGCCACAGGGCACCTTTAATTTTAAAGAAGTGACGACTTTTGGGTGAAAAGTTTTACAAAGTCATTCATTTTTCCTAGGTTACATTGTGCAAAGTTGAAGTTTAGAACCCCCCAATTTCTTACCAAAAATGTATCCAAGCAGACGAGTAAACCCCACCCAGCCCAGAGGTTACTGGAGGACAAATAAAGCGCACCACAAGTGTTTCAGACCAAAAGAAAAACACATTAATCCAGTTGGATTTCTGAACCCGGAGCGTCTGTTCCTTTAGGCTCAGCAGACCTGATGCTGCTAGATGGCGACCATGACGATGATAACTTTTTTTCGGTGTGAACCAAGAAAAATCTGTTTATTCTTGTCTGATCATTATGATAGAGTGACGGGATAAAGAGTGGGGGGGTGGGATAAAACAGAAAAAAATTATTTTAGCAATATTTTCATTCTTTCAGGATAATCTGTGTGTTTTAAGGGGGTTAAACAGGAAGTGGGTGTCACACTCAAATGTTTACCCCCCACTCTTGTTTTTACTCCTGTTGCGTCCTTGATATTCACATTGTCTTAAAGGTACTTTCTGTGTAAAATTATTTGATGAAAAATGATTTTGCTTTGTAATTATGTTGTTTTTTTTCTTGGTTTTTGTATGATCTTGTTCATTTTGTGGAAAACTGATACTGATGCTATTTATTTTCTATTTGATCAGGAAATGTAACCTTATTTGAAGATGGTCAGGTTGTGTGTGTGTGTATGTGTGTGCGTGTGTGTGTGTGTGTGCACGCATCGGTGTGTATCCAGTGAGTGAATCAGTGAGCAGGAGATGTGCGTAGACAGAGCGATAGAGAACGAGAGAAAGCAGCTCTCTCTTTGTTTCTTTTTCTCTCTCTCTCCTTCTCTCCTTCCTGAGGGACAGGGTTTGAATCCGAATGTATAGTGAAACAAATCGATTGATTGTTTTTTTGACGCTTGAGACGCAGAGCTACCTGTCGGCTGCTTCGTAACCAAACATTCAGAAACCCTTCAGACCAGCAGTTTTTCAAAACACTCACTTCAAATCATGCCTGAGTCAACAAGGTTTTGAAATCCATTTGACTTGCAGCCCTCAAAATGGTATTTCAAGTTTTATTGAGCTGCTGATGACTGATTCACACCCAATCTACCATTGCTTCTCTGTACAAAAGAGGTTGTTGCTTTCAAACATTGACACTGCAGCTTTGCATTTCATTTCATTTGCAGATGTTGCATTCAACATTCAGGGTATAACTTCCAACACGTTTGTCAGTCAAACCAAATATTTTCAAATTTGTGCATAAAAGTTCGGTGCTGAGTTTGGAAACAGTAGTTGTAGTGACATTAACAACGTCAAACTTTCTGCAGCTTGTCACATGTCATGGTCTTCATCTGGGATGGCATTGCTCGGTTGTCCTGGAGATGGCTCAGTAGTCATTATATGACTGAAGTATGGAACTTTTGTACCAGGTGTTTAGAGTCACCCTGGTGAGTAAGTGGGTCAATTTTGAGCCGCAAACCCCCTTTAGTATTGTTAGCACCCACCGTTAGCTCTGCAGTGTGGTGCTAATATAGTTTACAATGCTAAAGGTGTTTTACGGCTCAAAATGAAACCACTTATTCACCGGGGCTACCTGGAGGCGGGGACTGGAGGGTGGCCACCATGTTTTCATACATAATGCCAAATGAGTGATGCTGTTAGCTTGTTCCCACCCAACCCAGGGCATGCGCAGTGCAGAGCGGCCAAGGCTAGCTAACTGGAAGTCGGGCAGTGAGCACTATGTTTCAGCAAGTTAACGTGATTGGCCATCTATCTTGTCAGCAAAGTCAATAGTAAAAAATAGGGGGAAAGACATTTACATCACAAAACATACAATTTTACCACCCTTTAAATCGATAATGCATGAAATGCAGCGCTAAAGCTCAGTGAGTTAACAGAACGCATGAACTCATTTTGCTTGAAAATCAACCAGTTAGTTCCCGTGTATTGAGTGTTGGGTAAGGGTTAGGGTTAGGGGCTATTGAAAGCAAACTTAACCAAAACTGACATCCCTAGTAAACTCCATCTGCTGATGAAGACTGTGAGATAAGATTGAAAGCTCCAGAAAACGCTAGAAATTCGAACCTGAGTTACCATCATTACACGTGCTAGTGGTTCCCAACTATTTGGCTTGTGACCCCTTAGAGCAAACAACGTCCCCCTGACCTTCATAAGGACATGAGTTGCAAGCAGTTCAACCAAAGAGTGTTTTCCCTCCTTAAATAGTTTTGAATGTACGTTTTTTTTTAGAGGCCTCAAGAGGTAAAAGTTTCCAGTATTTCTCAAGAAAAGAGAAAAAATTTAAAAATTAATAAAGAAATAATGTGTGTGTTACAATTAGGTGCTCAACCTCAAAAATACAAATCAGAAGAAATACGAAAGAGCAAGAGGAAAATCTGAAAAATTATATACTTTTATGTATATAAAAATGTCTTATTTTGTTTTCCCGTTCTTCTAATTAACTTGTGACCCTTCTGATTTATCTCAGGACCCCTGAAGGGGCCCCAACCCTTAGGGTGGAAACCACTGACATGTGCCTCTCTTCTCTCTTCACACAATGGGAGTGTTGAAGAAAAGTGCACAAATTTGCATGAACGATGCTCCATGGCAGCCACAGATAATGCAATGATGGATTAGGTGTAATAGCAGCCTCATACCAGAAAACACCTCAAAACCTGCACCTGCAAACACCATCTGGCTGGCATGCTGAAGAGAAAAAAATCCATTTGGTTGGATTTCGAACGTTTTGATTCAGGCACTCAAAAAACACAACTGAAAAGAGACAAAACTTGACCTCGCTGTCATAAAACTCAGCTTACTTTCTGATTTTTGTTTTGGCTCGCTTACACACAAACCCTCTTGATTGTTATTGTCAGTCAGTCAGCTGACTCGGGAAAAACAGAACCCCAGCTCCCACTGTTCTCGAATTCTCACTTTTATTGATTAATAGTAATATTCCTCGATCTAGAATTCTGTCGTACGTTCTAGAACTGCTCCAGAACAGGAAGCGAGAGAAGAGAGAGTGTTCGTAGAGAGATTGGGTATCGCCTCACAGACAGCCATCGAACGCTGGTTTCATTCACTGTCACATTTCCTCTCTGTGGCCATTTTCATGTGGCCAAGTGTAAACGTATGCTTTAAATCAGAGGGGTGGTGTGAATGGACTTGATGAAAGCAGCCAGTGAAGATTACAAAACAGAGGAGGAGAAAGACAGAGGAAAGAAAAGACGTAGAGTTAGACACGATAGAATGGCAATAAGTCAGAGCAACAGTAACAGAATGAGAATATAATGTTACCGAAACCTACAACTGCATTACGTAGCAATTTCACTGAATTTCTAGATTTGCACTGTCTGCCCAATGGTCTGTGTTTGTTGTGTTGAAGAAAAACCTTAGAGAAGATGATTAAGACGATGCAGAAGAAGAAGAAGAAGAAGAAGAAGAAGAAGAAGAAGATGTATATTTTGGGGACCAACACAGCGGTGGGGGGTTTGAATGTAGAGAGGCTTACTACTGTACGTAACATTACAGGGGGGTGTAGAATGGAGAAAAAAAACTATGTGCTAAAAATGAAACTTCACTTTGAGAAAACACTCTGAGAGTCTGTGCTGTTTTGTGTGTCACCTCTTTTGTCTTAATAATGATCTCAGTAATATTAACTCCACTTCCTTTTATTGGTATTTTGATCAACAGGCATAATTCATGTTACTTAAAGCTGAACCAATATATAATCCTATATCGACAGTGTGTCGCTTGTATTACAAACTCACTGAGAATTTTCAACTTTTCAATTCTTCAACTTGTAGAATATTGTTTTGTTTTTTGGGCCCACAAGCTCAATTTCCTGTGAGTTGGTGGTGATCAAAGCAGAGCTAAAAGGAGAGTAAATGTAGGATTAACATTCATCCGACAACAAAACCCAACTTAAGATGAATGCTGATATTGCTTTGTGTTACCTGCCTCAGATGTTATCAGCCCATTAAATGGCTGTTGTCATCTGAAGCATAGATTTGAGGTAAGGCCCTACTCTACCTCCTATATTTACCTCTATGTTGGGCTGCAACCTCTAGTGGCCGTAGTAATCATGAAGGGAGCAAAGAAGGAAGTCAGGTGATGTATATTAAAAGAGTGACAAAGTCTATGTAAGGAGGAGGTAAGGCTGGATGGATGGGTCAAACAAACACAAGACTTTGACCCAACAGATCGTTATATTTGACCAGCGAGGAGCCCAAGTCAGCTTTGACTTACTTTAACTGGCTTATGTAAGTTTTCTTACATAATATATGTAATGTACTTAACATTCGTATATAACTTATGTCACGCAACAAAAGTACTCATTTTAACCCAAAACAAGACCCTTTCCTCAACCGAACCCAGTAATTTTGGTGACTAAACCTAACCAAGCATTGGTACCAACTGGTTGGTGCAATATGCCCAGTCTGAAGCATTATAATGGTAGTGATAACAACTGATACTGGACATTTAATGGGTTGAAAACATTCAAAAAAGATGTTTGTATCTATTGGATGTGTTAATAATCAACTGTTAACTAGTACATTAGCCATACTGTGATAATATGTCAATCTTGTTTGGCGAAAAAAGTCCTGCTTTAATCTGCTAATAAGTGTATTTGAATTACATGTAGGTGTAACTCCTTTTTTACAAACCTTTTTTTTTTTATATTTTTGCTGAATATTTTCAGTGCAGGCTACACCATGGTCATGGTCACCATTTTTTCCCATTAATTTCCATATGGTGTCAAAATCGATCACTGTGTAATTCACGTGTAAATCAAGTTGTGGAATTCATCACAATGAACATCAAATCTGCAAAACAGTTTGACCAATTACCTGATATTTCATTGCAGTATGATAGAGCAGTAAATGGAAACCAGTGGCTGCATGAAACAGCTGGAAAAGTACACCCAAAAAATCTAAAGCAGCATGGTTTGGAAAATGGGAAACTGTGATATAAAGTATAGGTAAGCTTCAGTAAATGGGTTAAAAAAAAATGCACTACACTGGTATGGTATGGAACTTTAACAGCGGAGGAGACAATTACTCAGATGAGTTCACAGTATCTGGTTTAATCCCCTAACTCTGGAATTGACAGGGCTTCTTAAAGTCACAGCCAGTGTACCTTTTGTCTAATTATATGGTGTCAAGGGGTTTAAATTACCCAGTAAGAGTTTTAAAAGTTCTGTCCTTTGTGTTCATATTACCAGTCCTTTGTCAAGTTGAATACTGACAATCCTTGCATCACTGAAAGGAGACCAGAGTTGGATAAAGAACTGCACACACACTCACACAGAGAGATACAGGCTGAGGTTAAGAAAACATAGACAAGCATCAGTATTTTCCAGGGAGTCTCCATTATTTCTGGCTTGGGGTCTCTAATGGTATTTCATTGTAATTGCTATGATGTCAGAGTGTCCGTCCGCCCTAATGGCCTTCCAAAAAATAACAACAAGGACAGATTGGTTCCATTCACTGCTTGTTGTCCGGGCAGAGAGACACCGGAGTCCAGCAGCTCAAATCTCTGCAAGATCTTCAGCTGAAAAGGTGAGAAGTGTTTCTTTAAACATCCATTATGTAATGCAGGGCAGGTATGTAGAAGTCATTTTTACTATTAATTCATTTTTAAGATATTTTATACTTCTTTAAAGACAAAGAGTATACATAATTGTGTTGGCAGGCTATGTTATACCACAGATACAGTGGTATAGCATACTTGGAGTTATTGTACTCAGTGAAGACAGTGTGGTGTTAGTGGTCACACTGCCTATAAAACTATTCACATCATTGTGTTCATGCAGAAAGTATTTTTATTTCAGTGTTATATTTCTTAATACAAGTGAAGCACTTTGCAGTCTGGCTGAGTTAAGATGATTCCAGTTTAGTACAGTTTAAGTGGTATACTGGAAGAGGAATTAAGCAGATGTCTCCAGTAGTTTTAAAGAAATGACTTTTGATTCTGATTGAAACAAGAAAAGAAAAAGAGCTTTTTATGCATGGAAGTGAAATTAAATAACTATATTTCACATTTGTCACTAAAAATGTTTTGTTATTGTTTATTTTTCGTTAGAAAGTTAGTTTAAGTTATTAATTTCCCCTTTAAATTTTTTTTTTTTTTTTGCAGTGTATGCAGTAGGTCTCTGGTACTATTGTCTGAGGTAGCCATAATGAACACTAGAGGGGGTTATGAGTCATGCTGAATGTCACAGTTTACCGCTCTGGAAGTCTTGTGCCAGTTCCTGTGGATCATCTCCATCTTTAGATGTAAAATGTTGACAATAAAACCATCAGATGTTCATTATCTATTTTATTAAAGAGGCCAAACTGAATATTTTAATCTGTAAACATGACAAAAACAGGACATCTTTATTTTAAGGTGAACTGTATCTCACCCAGGTACAGAAGGTCACTTGTAGCTGAGGAATAATAAATACACATACATACATACTTAATTTTTCTCTCTTTACCCATCATTCCCAGCATGCATCTCCATCCCCTGTCCCTCTCTTGCTTTCTCCTCCTGGTTGCTGGGGCAGCCGTGGTGTGCGTTACTGTGACAACCACACTTCACGGTTTCCGGGGCTGCGCTGTGAGAGAGTTCTCCTTCGTGGCCCAGAAGCCTGGCTGCAAGGGACTGCGCATCACCACAGAGGCCTGCTGGGGGTGTTGTCACACCTGGGAGGTAACATTCATATACAAACACACACACTAACACACAGTAAAGTGAGCATCAGTTACATTCAGCCAATGAAAGAGTCCCACTTTTTTCTCTGTTGCTATTTCTGAAAAGTTCCATAATACTGGATTTTTGAGACATCAAATAAATGATTAATGACCCAGGACTCAACCCAAACCATAAGAAGGCCGATGACCAATTCTCGGCTCTGACCAATACATCATTGTCGTAAGAAGTGCTTAAATCCCTCCAGGCACTGAACTTTAGCCGAACTCATTCAAGTTTGCAGGGATTCAGATTTCACCTCTGAGTTAATTGAAAAACCAAGTTTAGGGGAACTCGGTCAGATTCAAAGCCTTTAGAGGAGAAAGCTCTGAATCAGCAGCAACAGAGCTGAGTCAGTCACATGGCAGAGGTTCAGTGTTAGATTTTATAATCCACGTTGGATTAAAAAGATCTTAACTCAGAGACCAATTACTTTTTCATAGACTTTCAATAGCATCTCATGGTCCTCATCACAATTAGAGTTTAACTTCTTTTTCTTTTTTTTTTTAGTAGGTGGAGTTTTCAACTGCGTCCACATACCTCTGTCCACAGAAGACAGTGAGACGTATAGTTAAAAGCTTAGGGAAGAGCTAGGAAGTGGACTCTGAGTTCAAGAATGAACAAATGTAATCGAAAATGTCTGGTAGATGTAGAGATCTCACAAACTTGTTGCATTCACTCCTATCAATGAAGAGCAAAGTAACCTGTGTACCACCTGTGTGTGTCTGAACCCCACAGAAACCTGTGCCAGATCCCCCCTACATCCACAGACATCACCGCGTGTGTACGTACAGTCGTACCCGCCACATGACCGCCCGCCTGCCGGGCTGCCAGCCCAACATCTCCCCTCTCTACCACTACCCCATGGCCCTGCACTGCCACTGTGCCGTCTGCTCCACACAGGACACGGAGTGTGAGACCTTCTGATGGGCAGGACACTGCTTTCAGCAAACAATATAATCAACAGTATCACTGATATGAATGACTCTGAATAAAATGATGACATCAAAACATTTGAGTAAGTGTGATACTTGACATTTAGTAACCTAAAAATGAGTCTTTCTGTAGACTGACGAAAACGTGTGTATAGTTATATATCTGTTAAATGTGTCTTAATGTAAGAAAGGAGAAATAACAGGGCAAGCATTACATTTCAAAATAAGAGTTCTGGGATTCTTTGCTGTGATGGCCACAATAGTAAATTTAAGAACACAAAGATAAAGTCATAAACAAATTGAAGTACATATCAACTGCAGCTATGGTTAGTTATGATTCTTGTCTAAAATTATAGATCTTGGCATCACATACATTCTGAATTCCAGCTGTTGTATAGTATCGATTACCAACCAAACCAAGTGAAAAAGAACCCTGGGGCCCAACACTCTGAGGGATCCAAAAGCCCTGGGTTTGTTGTGATTATAGTTTACTGTAATTAGACACAGTACAATTTTGTTTGGGTTTGTTTTTTTACAATTGATAACTAATCATCAAGTTTTTATTGTACTCACATGGTGCATATTTCTATAAAAATCTGTTTAAGTAGTTCAGTTGAAGGTGACATGATGCATTCACATTGTACAGAGAGATGGTGGTGATGAGGTGAACAGGGACCCACAATGATGTTGTGGGGACACATCTCCCTTGTGGGGACAAAGTCAAGCTTACAACGTTTATCATTACATTTAAGGCTTAAGACTTGGTTCAGGTTAAGTTAAGATAAAGTCAGATATTAGAGGTAAGGGTTAGGCATGTGGTGGTCATACTATAGGTTGAGGTAAGTAATGTCCCCTTAAGTGACGGAAACAAGTTCACGTGTGTGTATAACGTAAGAAGAGAAATCAAATGTCCACATTATTGAATTTACAGTTGCAGAATAGAAATTTATTGAAAAACAAATTAATCACAAAGTATACAGTGCATTCTTTCTCGTTTCATTTCATTGACATTTCCAACATTATTTGGTTTCATATTATTTACAAAATGTCCTTTAATTCAAATTCATAAATATAAATAAATTTGTACATTCTTTGGTCTCTTGTCTGTGTTTAGTGGTTATTGCAAAGATTGAAACTGTATATATGACCTTTTTATTGATTCCAAAGTTTGACAGTATATTTTTGGATAATGAGTGTGATTGATTATAATCCTGGAGTCTCTGTGTACTTACACTTGCTACTGAGTAACTAAATATGAAGGGTGATGTGACTATTTCTTATTTGTAGCTGCTTACAAAGTCAAGTGTCTGCCAAGCCAAGCCTCAAAGGAAAAAATATAAAATAAAAATGTTCAGTTTTTTCGACGTATGTGTGACAGAATGGTTTATACAACCTTTAACACAAATGTGCATCAATCAAGTTTTCGAGAAAAACATCCCTTACATAACATTTAAGACACGCAGGCTCGCACACACATGCACATGCACACACAAACATACACACATCTTTAGAGACATCTAAAAGTGTGAATTTTCCATTTTAATTTCAATCCTAAAATACCACCCCTTTCCAATATTATCAGCCCATTAAATGGCCGTTTTCAGTTGTTATCACTACCGTTATAATGCTTAAGACGGTGCAAACTGCACATACTAGTAGGCCAGAAGGGTAAAAGTCCTGTGTTTGCTTTACCCATGTATTCACCCCAACCTCCTCTTTGCAGACTTTTTTCTCTCTATACTACATCACCAAACTTACTCCTTTGCTCCCACCACAATTATTCTGGCCACTAGAAGTCACAGCCTAACATTACAGGTAAATATGAGAGGTAGAGTTGGGCCATACTACCTCATATCTATGCTTGTGATGACAACTGATAACAGGCATTTAGTGGGCTGATAACAATCAAAGCGGGTGAAGGTTGTGGGCGACTGATCCAGAGCAGGTGCCACTCTGCCTTTGAGCCTTTTCTGTCCACCATCCTTTGAGAACACAAATGAAGGAAACCCTGGTTTTGACAGTAACTTGGCAGAGAGCTGATTCTTTTTCAATTAAATAAGTTAAAGATTTTCTTCAACATTCATAACAAGTCGACATATACGTAGAGAAAGGATAGTTAGTGGTTCATCACTAAAGCTTTTGTATTTCAATCATTTACCAGAGCTTGTACCGCTTAACTGACTAAATTTGGTTCTGATCCTGGTGTACTTTTGGTATGCAGCATATCATCTTGATGTATCAGTAGCGGGACTTGCGGCACATGTCGCAGCGACAAGCCTTCGCCGTCAGGATCTCAATTTCGTCATGGTGACGACCTTGAGGGCAGTCCAGGGGAACTTTGACCTTTGGTGAGAAAAGGAGGACATGAGCATCTAGCAAACATGATTTAAAACGAGAAGCAGTAGTTAACCCCCCTTTTTTTCAGTTCCCCCCACCTTAGCCTCCTTGCTGATGGTGCAGCATCTGGAAGCAGATGTGATGTTGTGAGTGAAGTTTGAGGCCACCAGCACAGAGTATCTGGATGGAAAGGCGCTGGACTCGCAGTAGCCCACGCAGGCGTAGACCAGGTGGGTGCCCTTACATGTGCCACGACGGTCACTGCGGATGGTCACGTTGAAGGCTGGAGACAGGAGACAAGATGAAAGGATGAGTGAAGGTGAAGGGAAACTAGTACTGTATGTGTGCGAGTGCTGTTGCTGTTCTCAAGACCACATTTCCCATAAGCCCTGCTACTCCCTGATAATATGCACCTAAATGGTCTGGATGCTGTTTGTAGGGGACACTGTGAATGCATTTTGAAACAGCGTGTTACTTACGATGCAGGTGACACCCTGGGGTGACGCCGTCATGGCTCCAACCGATAGGAGAGAAGAGCAGCAGCAGTGACATCACTGGTAGGACCAGCAGGCAGAAATGTGAGGTCATGCACAGCGACATCTGGATGGCAGCCTAGAGGGTCCAAACAGAACAACAAAGCATGTAAGAACTTCTTTTTGGGCTTTTCTCAAATCCTTGCTTTTGGTCATGTGACCATGAAGAAGAGTGATTTTTTGGTTGCTCACAGATCATTTTTAATCTGTGATGAGCTCATGAGGAGGCACTGCTTGGCTATAAAATGTCACAAATCAAAAAGCTTGGAAACCAGTGATCCAGGCTTTTGAGGAAATCTTAATTAATTCTCTGAACTGAAGAAAGTGAAGAAGCACTCAACCCGAGGTGATCTTCTCCTGCTGAACTTTCCCCTTAAATCAAAGCGTTGCCCAGAGCCCCCTCTGTTATCCACCGAGGTGATTTCCCACCCTTCACATCTGCCTGTGTGTCACTCAGCTGAGTAACAGCTAATGTGAATAAAAACAATGCTGTCTTTATCTTTTCAACGTGCCTCATTTAACAGCTACCTGCTGACACACGTACGTACACAGCTCACACCGACTCGTACACGAAGCAGCACATCAGAAGCTATACATGAATTAAAGTTTCCTTAAAATACAGAAAGGTTGAAGGACCCTGTGTGCGTTTTACATGCACACATGCATGCATGATCTTGAGCGAGTGTCCGATGCTTGCACGTGCTCATGCCCCCCTTGCACATGCACTCCCACACGTGTGTAAACAATAAAGTCATGTTTTCCTGGGAATTTGGTGATCCTGACCCTTGACCTCTAAAATGGCAGCTCTTTCCAGCTCCCCGCCCCCCACCGCCACCACACCACCACCCCCAGACCAGAGCGTTGGGAACTGCCTCTGTGGTGATGGTGGAACGGCCCTGGGGACGCCATTAGCGCTGCTGGTACGGACAAATTAACGGGTCAGGACTGTGTGAGTGTGTGTGAGGCCATTAACCCCATGTCAGCCGGTAGGGCAGGGGAAATGCCCGGCTTTTTCCTCTTATGTGGGGTTTCCACGCCTGAAGGTTTGGTTTGTATTTGAGGAAAGTGGGTTGTAATATGCTACACCCCGCTTTGGGAAGTGATAGTGGGAGGACCACCAATACAGCATAAAGAACATATACCTTATGTAGGATCTTTAAAAATATTCCATGAAAACAAAAAACTTAAAATCATCAGTTAATTTAACTTCACCATATTGTGTCTCTTATTATGTAAGTGCTGTGCCCCCCCCCCCTTTTGTGGACCATTCTTGTAATTGTATAACTGCATAGAAGAATCTTATGGAAAAACTGCCGTTTAACTGAATATTGCTAAAAAGAACCAAGACTTTCTCGGAAAACAGTTAAAAGCACAGGCATTTTGCAAGTATTAGAGGAAATATATTTCAGTGTAAAACACCCAAATGATCCTCTGACCTCCTAAATTGAACTTTCATTGTTTAAACAATTCAGAAGAGGCTAGATGCTGATTTAGAAGTCGCAGCAGACAATTTTATTTGAATTAAAAACTATAAAATTACTGTTATATAAATGGAGCTTGGACCATCTGCTGATTTCAAGTGCAATCTGCTTTTTTTTTTGCAATGTCAAGAACCTGAAATTTCCACTAATTGCCAATATGATGTAATATTTTTTTTTACATGTTGTACATTATATGTACCAGTGTAAAAAGTGAACAGCCTTAATGACAGGGAAAATACAGTCTAGAAATACCACAGACAAGATTTTTAATTTGTCTCATCTGTCACTGTCATAATGTTCCAATAATAAAAAAAAATCTAGTCTATCATCTTAATCACAATATTGCTTAGTTTTACAAATATGCGTATTATGATGAAAGCAAAAGTCAGCTGAGTTGCAAAATAAAATCTCCCAAACACGGCAAAACATAAGCATTTTTCAAGAACAAGTAAATGGTCTTAGTATGGACAAATTACACATGTGCAAAAAGTGGTAATATGATTATTATTATAAACATACATGAAAAAAATCTGAATGTAAAGAAATAAAAGGACCGATAAAAAATTAAAGGTGTATTTTCCTCCAAATTTACAACTTAATCTGACGTATAGTAAAGTTTCTTGTCATTTTTAAAAAATAGAGAAAGCAACAATCTCAAGATCATAGCCTAAATATCACAGGATTTAAAGGTCTATTCCACCAACATATAGACTGATGCACTATATTTTATTTTAGGTGTAAAAAGGAGCTCAGTCTTACCTGAGGACGCAGAGTAGAGTGCAGCTTCTGGAGTGCAGGGCAGGTGTGTCGACTGACAGGTGTGTGTGAGTGTGTCTGTTCTGAGCCTCATGCAGGGATATAAGTAACACAGGTAAGAGCAAAGGCACTTATAGCTCTGGACACACCCACAATTAGAGAGCTGAGTGTGTGTGTGAATCTTTTCCCCCCACAGGTCCCTCTTTCTTCTCTACTCGTTTTACCTGCACAAAAAGGGGAAACTGTCTAAAAACTGTTTTAAAAAATGCCCTTAAACTTTCTTTCTTTAACGTCTTTCTCCTGGAGTGTGTTAGTGTCTCTCTGTCCCTCCGCCCTCCCCCTCCTCGCTCTCTGTTTTCAACCTTAGGGGGACCGCTGCTGTGACACAGAGGAAAACTAGACTAGGTTTTCCATCAACGCACCGCCACAATAGTAAGAACACACACAGCTTTACCACACGCGCATGCATAGAGACGCACACACAGAAAAGTACACTTCTATGCATGCACGTAAAATTGAACACAAAAGAATAATATTCTGGGCCTCGGCTGCCAGTTGATACAGTGAACTAATACATAAACTGAATGGGAGACCTCACATGCACACACAAAGTGGGCCTGGGTTTTCCATTTGTGGCTGCAGGAGGAAGGGCAGGGTCGGGTCAGAAGATATTGTTGGTTTGGGTCAACTGTGTGTGTGTGTGTGTGTGTGTGGCACATGATGGGTATATTGTGGGGAACGCCTGCCTGGCTCTGCTTCTCATCTTTCTTGTCTTGAACTGAGGAAGTCATCTTAGCAACCACCCCTGTCCAAACTCCAGCGGGTAAAGACATTCCGTTAATAGACTCTTGGATTATTTGTTGGCCATTTGCAGCACTTTCTGGACACTTTGGTGACATGTCACAAAGGTCACAAACTGCCAGATCAGACCACAGATTACTTAAAAAGTGTTGCCAAAGAGCCAGAGTGGGTGTCCTTTGTTCTTGTTGTGGTGAGTATCCACAAGAAAGTGGGTTCAGGGTGAAGGAACAAATGTTTTACTTACTGGAACAGCAAGAGTCAGAGCCTCCTGAGGTTACTTTTTGGTTTTTCAATGGGTTTTTTAATGTCTCCCAGGAGAATTTGGGCTGGGTTGGCAATCATTGCCATTGTGGGTCTTTAAAGCCCACTGAGACACTACAGCCCTCTGATACTGGGCTATAAAAATGAATGACTTGACTTTAAAATAACCATCCTTGTCTCTGACAGAGGTTGTTAAACTGCCAAGAGAATTGATTCAAGGGGTCAAAGACCTCGCTGTATGATAAAATCAGTAGGCAAACCAGCACGTCACATTTACTTTAAACTTACTATACTGGTTTGATCGCAGATGCAATAACCATCATTGTTTCACTGTATGTTTTCACTTACAGCAGCAGCTCCTAAATGCAAGCTGCAGATGCTCGTTATGACCTTTAATCAAGTGAAATGACAAAAGCTGAACCCTCTAAACAATTCCCAGAGGAACAGTACTGTAATAAGCAATTCATCCAGGAAACAATAGGACCTGATTGATGCATTTAAGCTTCTTTCTACACTGCAAAAAAATCAGTCCACATTTCAGTCCTAAAACCTTATTTTCTTAAAGATACACTATGTAGGATTTTCTGAAAAACAATGTATACATTACATTCATAAAAAAAGTAATCCCTCTCAATCATCACTTATGAGTCACTAAGTGTGTGGTGGTGTATTTTTCTGCAGAGACTGCCTGTATTTTTTAATTTTCTTCTTATTTTCTGTGCTCAGAACATTTATGGGTGTGTACTCCTGTAGCACTCAGGTGAGGTCAGGGTTTTATAAAAAGGTAGCGGCCAGGTGCCAGACTGTAAGCAGCAGGCATCCATGGGACACAGCGCTGAAAAAATAAAACAATGCAAATATAGAGAGATGAGATGAAATGCCAAATGAGAGACAATCTGGGGTTCGCCTGTACTTCCATTTTCAGGAGTAAGTGTGTTTACAAACTGTAAGTGACAATCCTGCACCTTTAAAACAAGAGAAACAATCCTGTCAGTGCAATAAGAATATTTCTGTTTCCAAAATACATCAACTACCTGTAGATTTTTTTTTTTTGAGAATAAGGTGTGGCACTACACTTTCTCTGACATCTCTCTATTTAATGCATGTATATGTCCTGTTTGTGCATGTGTGTGTATTTCAAGCCTGTGTGTATATGACAACAGAGTGAAAAAACTGAATTTCCCCTCTTGAATTAATAATGTGTATCTTTTTCTTTTTTGATGAGCTACACTGTGTGATATGTTTCATGCTCATTACAATCAAGGTTCCCATACCTTCTTAAACATCTAATTCAAGGACTTTCCAGGCCCAGTTCCGTCAAATACAAGGACAAATAACAGTATAGTTTAAAACAGATCAAGATTAATTACTGTCACAACTGTGAGAATTTCTATAATGAGAGCTGACAGGCTTTACAGAAGCTTACAGATGACAAAAAGAGAAAGAGACTTGAATGTGTGAACACTTCTCATTGGGCTGTGTAGGTGGAGGCAGGTGGCATAGGAGACACAAACACAGACAGCAGGACGCAGCCTATTTATAACATTATCTAAAAAAAAATATATAATAAGAACTTCAATTTGTATTCTTGCAAAACTATAGAAATTCAAGCACTTTCAGTGACCCAGAATTTCAAGGATTTCAAGGACCCATGGGAACCCTGTACCAAAACACACGCTGTAGTTTATTTTCAGCCAATTCCACAAACCAATTGTGTATTAATCCACCGCTGAAAATAGTTCCCAACAAATCCACTATTTACTGGTATTTGAGTAACGTTTGCTAAAAGCTGCAGTGACCAGCTGTTTCAGGAAATTAATCTTCTTTAAAAAAAAAAGAAAAAAAGATGAAACCATATACCTGGTTTAAAGATTTATGTCCGCAGTGGTAACTAATAGGTTTGGAGTGGAATGCCAATGACAGCACAGAAAAGTCACAAAGTATTAATGCTGACTAACAAATTGCTGGTTTTGTTTTTTAAATAGATTTTTTTTACACTAAGAAAAATATAGAATAACATCAGCCATATTCTTAAAACTGTCTTCCTGTTCTGCTCCACAATAAAAACCACAGTCGGAGGGAAATTAATAAAATTCTGTTCAACTCTCAGACGTTACCGCAAAACTCTCCTACATCAACAGGTTGTAGTGCTCACCTCATCACTGATCAGGATAGATGCTAAGGCTTCCAGGGCTACTCACTCACACACATTCCCACACTCACACACACTCACACATACACACCTTCTAAGGAAAACACAATTATCATCTTATGGCCCCTCTATCCCAAACATTCCCAATCTGGTTATGTCAATGGAAAACGGAATGTGTGACATCATCACCTAAACCCCCCCACCTACACACACACAAACACACAAAACTATTAGTGTGTTGACTGTGAGGTTGCAGTGTGTGTTTCTCCTGATTCCATGCCAACCAGGGACAGAGAGAGAGAGAGGTAGAGGGACTATAAATGTGAATGGCCTGCAGCACCTCATCAGGAGAGAATTAGATGTGAATGAACTTTGTTAAACTGGAGACTCTCTTGCAGTTGAAACACACACACACACACACACTGCTCCAGTGTGACTCAGCGGGGTGACTGATGTTTGTATCGCTCAGTGGCCCCATCGCTCTCGGCTGCCGTGGAAACCGTGGCGTCTTGAATAACTATAATATCATTAATGTGTCCGCTTCCACTTCTGCCCTGTTATTTTAATCTGTGTATGTGTGTGAAAGTGTATGATGTATGTGTGTGTCTGTGCAGCAGTGTATGATGTGTGTGTGTGTGTGTGTGTGTTATTCCAAGTACTATATGTGTGTATATCATTATGTCTGACAGGATATTGTGTGTGTGGTCAAAGTGTGTAAGTAGACATGAGCGTAAGATTATGTGTGTGTTATTTTGGGCTCTATGATAATATAAGGAGAGGATTAGGCAAAGTTTTCCTGTTTCTAAGATGATGTTTTAGTCCAGTTGACCCATTTACCTCCATATATAAACACATGCATGCAAGCGTGGACACGTGCATGCATGCAGGCACGCACGCACTCCATGTCCCTTTCATAAAGTTAATCATTGACCAGAGCTCATTTGAATTTTTTTGCATATTTGACGAACATCAGTTCTATACAAATGTTTGTGTATGTGTGCAAAAATGTCAGTCCATAAGACACAACTCACACACACACCTACACACACAAAGATAGAACACTTAACTAATTTAGATTGACAGGAGGAAAGTGGAGTTTCCACAAGGTGATTCTCACTAAGGCTCAAGGTGAGGACACACACACACACACACACACACACACACACACACAGACATGGGGGAGTGGAAATATTAAGAGAGACCCCGCATTGTCTACAACATTTACCAGAATAAAGCTTTGGAATGTGTTAGTGTGGATTTGTTTGACAGTCTGCACATTGAGGAAAGATGTAACCATTTGGATTAAACCACCTCCCACTTATTTACATTTTACACACTGAATCCAAAAATTGCATTAAAGGTCCAGTGCGTCAGATTTTGGGTCCAGGTATGGTATATAATAACCTTAATTATGGTTTCATTACTTTATAATCACCTCAAATTTAGCATTGTTGTGTTTTAGTTACCTTAGTTACCTTAGAATAAACTGTATCTACATAGGGAGCAGGTCCTCATCCAAGGAGTCTCCCATGTTATTCTACGGTAGCCCAGAACTGACTAATAAAACATTGGCTCTAGAAAAAGTCCTTTCACATGCCTGTGTTGGCCATCATAGTTATCCCACACGCTTGGCATACAGGAGAAGTTTCAGCTCTGCAACCTCACCACTAGATGGCAGTAAACCCTACATACTGGACCTTTAGAACAGAAAAAAATGTTCTGTAAGTTCTAAATGTAATGTGTAAGTTCTAAATGTTCCAAGTCATGTAACTGATCTTTTATTGCCCTATGTTCCTTCTCGCTCTTTGAAATCCTCAGATGCAGCTTTT